TTTATGGGCGAACGCGGCAGCCAATTGCGCACAGCAATGTCCCACAAACAGTCGTAGATTGAAAATGACCAATTTAATTATTGTTTTTGGTTTGGGAGGGATTATTATTAGGGGTGTGGAGTAAGGAAACTTGCCCAAGGTTTCGCCCTGTCTGGAATTGAACTCAGGTCTCTCACTTGCAAAGCGAGTGCTCTAACCACCATAGATCCATAGCACTATTCAATAGCATAGCACTAAGATCCATAGCACTATTCAAAATAAGAAAAGTATTTCTCCCAGTGTCCTGGCAAACAATCCCCCAAATTAGAATTGGTTACTCAGTTCATGGCCATTTATGGGACATTGCTTTGTGTAAACTGGCTGCTGCTTTTGGCTACAAATACAGTCACTGCATTTCACAGTAAAATCCTATAAAGCGCTTTGAGATGCATCATTTACATGATAAAGATGCAAGGATTATTATAATTATTATATACAACATTCGTGAAACAGGCTACTCAATCCAATTATTCTGTGCTGCTATTTATATATGCCACATGAGCCTCCACCCCTATTAATCTCTCTAACGCCCTTCTTCATGCAAGCATCAAATATATCTTAAGCATCTATTATTCTGTATTAAAAGTCTGACAATGATAAATATTGTAGCCCATCCCTTTCATGTTGTCAAGAGAGGTCAAGATTGCCAGGTCCATCTGGATAATATCACGGCCGCTGCATAAATTTTACAATCTCTATAATTTCTTCATGGAACACTATCTCCAATTTTCTCCCTTGGTCTGGATAACTTAAAGGTTTGAAAGATTGAGACATGATTCAAAAGTGCTCAGAGACAACTTACCTGAACAAAAATCCATCTACGCAAATTGTCCAAGTGGATCAAACTGACAGTTCCATGATTGACACTCCCTTAAAAAATGCCTGGTCATCCAGAAGGGCCAGTTATTGCATTGGTTGTTATAGAATTACTGCAGTGTTAGTGTTTGTCCAGCCACACGCCATTTCCAGAGTTGACATCCAATAAATGAGAATTCCAAAACTGGTGTCTGGGCCTCTTATTAAACGTGAAAAGCATTATTTCAGCAATGCCTGGCTAATTGCTTCACTATGCTCCAGAAGCTGATTTACAATGTCTATCGATTTATTTAAACAAACTCCCCTGAGAATATATGTAGAAAGTTTGTTGGTGGCAAATTGCTGCATGTTAATTAGGTTTCACAAAGCTCTTGAGTTTGTGAATACCAGATGTGATCATTAGAACATACCACATTTCACATGGTATTATGGTACTATTTTAAATTTATTGGATAGGCTGTAAGGCAGTATATAGGGCTTTAAAGCAGTGTTTCTGTTGTGTTTAGACAAACCTTGGCACAGCAGGTAGTTACGGTTATGTTACGGTTATGCACTTCTGCCTCATTTATGTACGTTTAAAAAAAACTCCAGGAGAAAGTTCTAATGGTTTTAAAATGATATTTTTAGTGCAATGTTCCTGAAAATTGTAAAAGTCAAAGTTTACATTCAATTCACAGAACTCCTTGCTGGAAGAATAAGTTCATGATAGCACAAAGCGAAGCAGAATGTTACATGCTTTTCTCAGTGACTATAGTAGGTTTTGAATGGCTTGATTTTGCACAATTCAGGACTTCCAACTTAGTGACATTTTTAACTCGTGAATAATTTTCAAGCTCATTCTCTGTGAATTATTAAAAAACAATTAGCAGAATGGCCATATTGTCTTGCCAAATTCCAGGAAGATGCATCCTGTTGCCAACTCTTCAGAACCACCCATGAATTTGACTTTGCATTAAACGACTTTTAATAACTCAAAGGGGGTTGCGTCACTATGAAAGAACAAGTTTGCATTCAATTTTGTTGATTTAGATGTGAAAAGTTGGTAAAAAAGCATTAACTGTCCTTACCGACTCTTATCTTTAGTGACATAGTGGATTTTCCTAAATCTTTCAAGTATAATTTTTGTTCAACAATCGTACACTATTGCAGATTTTCTCAGATGGATTGGTTTCCTCACTAAGCGTATGTCTGTTCTGTTCATGCACCTTGGTTTTGAGTTTCCCCCTTAATACTATTCAGCAAAATACATCACACCAATCATTTTAGAGGCAGCCTCGCAATTGTACTTTACAACAGACAATACATTTCACTGAATGAATGTTCATTCCAGGAGAAAATGTATTTTGGGATTCTTTGTCTTCTTTTCCTCCCACCACCATCTTCATGACATCTGACATTCTCCAACTGTGATAGCAAGCACAAAATCCAATTGCAGGGCTCTGCCGATAGTACACAAAACGGTCACAGGCCATTTCTACTCACTTCAAACCCATCATCACTCGGCTGCTGGCTGAATCAGGAATGGATCTTCTGCAGTACAAGATCAGATTTGGCTTTCAAATGGGTTTTAGTTGATGCACGAGGTATTATTCAAATTTGAACTATCCTGGGGTGGGAGAGGGAGAAGATAAATGGAGCTGAGCTGGCTCTAAGGTGATGTGCTTGGCAATGGAATATTAGAATTGAACCAACACTGTTTGGTGGTCTTGGTAGTCTGGTTCCTGAGCCAGGCAGATCAGCAGTGCCTCAAGGCAATGTTGCTAACAATCCAGCCAACCTGGCTTGGAGGCAGAGATTCTTCCCACTCAGTTCCCATTAGCCTTGCAAGTTAAAAGCCAACACACATTCTGAGTCCCTAAACCTAGCTTTTGTCAATCTGTGCTTAATACTTTCCAGGGAAAGTATGCAAACAAAGGAAAGTTTTCACGCCCATGTGGAACTCTCTGTATATTGGCTTGGATACTCTTAAACATAGGAATGGGTTTACATCTGTGTCAGACAACCAGTTGACCCCTCCAAAAAAAGTTTAAACTACCCGATGGCTTCTTTAGCTGTCTGGTTCTAGATTGGAGTAGCATACACTGTAATCACATTATCAATTTCTTACAACAACAACAAAATTACATTTATAGAGCGCCTTTCACATCGGGAGGACGTCGCAAAGCACTGAACAGTCAGATGTCGGGGCCCGAGCATGGGTGAGGGAAGGCGGTGAGGTGGGAGGGAGACCAAAGGTACGATCGAAGAGAAGGGTCTTGAGACCAGCCTTGAAGGAGGCAAGGGAGGAAGTGAGGCCTTGGGACCGTGGGATGGAGTTCCAGAGTGTGGGGGCAGAGAGGCTGAAAGCCCGGCCACCGATGGTAGGGCGGGTCGGGCGGGAGATGTGGAGCAGACCGCAGCCCAATGAACGGAGGGAGCGGGCAGGCTCGTAGGGAGTCAGCAGGTCAGAGAGGTAGGATGGGGCAAGACCATGGATGGCCTTAAAGGTGAGGACGAGGATCTTGAACTTGATCCTCCGGGGGATGGGGAGCCAGTGGAGTCGGGCGAGGGTGGGAGTGATGGGGTTGCGGAGCCTGGTGTGTGGGAGTACATGAGCTGCAGAGTGTTGGATGATCTGCAGCTTGTGAAGGGAAGAGTTGGGAAGGCCGATGAGGAGGGAGTTCCCGTAATCAATCCTTGAGGTGACGAATGCGTGGGTGAGGGTTTCGACAGCCTGAGGGGTGAGGCAGTAGCGGAGTCTGGCAATATTGCAGAGGTGGTGGTAGGCAGTGCCGGTCATGGCACGGATGTGGGGGAGAAAGGACAGTTCAGGGTCAAACAAGATACCCAGATTCCTGACTGGCTTAGTGAGGTTGAGTGTGCAGCCATGGAGGCTGATGCTGCCAGGCGCTGGCGTGAGCCAATCAGGGGGTCCTCGGTCTTGCTGACGTTGAGTTGGAGAAAGCTGTCCCTCGTCCAGGACTTGATGTCGGACAGGCAGTTGGTCAGGACGCCAGTAGTCCTGGAGTTGAGGGTGGAGGCAGAGAGGTAGAGTTGGGTGTCATCCGCATACATGTGGAAACTTACCCCATGCCTGCAGATGATGTCACCAAGGGGGAGCATGTAGAGGGTGAAGAAGAGGGGACTGAGGACAGAGCCCTGAGGAACACTGCACGAGACTGTGCGGGGGCTGGAGGAGAAGCCGTTTGCCGCGTCCAAGTGGAGGCGGTGTGAAAGGTAGGACCTGAACCAGTCAAGGACAGAACCTTGAAGGTTGAGGTGGGAGGAGAGGCGGTGGAGGAGGATTGAGTGGTCCACGGTGTCAAATGTGACAAGAGAGGTCGAGGAGGACGAGGAGGCAGAGGGAGCCCTGGTCGCACATGGTCAGGATGTCATTTGTGGCCAGAGCAGTTTCTGTGCTGTGGGCAGCACAGAAATCCGATTAGAGGGACTCATGGTGGGAGTGAGAGGAAAGAGCGAAGCTGGGAAGCAACGGCTCTCTCAAGGACCTTGGATAGGAAGGGTAGATTTGAGATGGGCCGGTAGCTAGATAGCTGTGACAGGTCGAGGGAAGGTTTCTTCAGGGTGGGGGTGATGGTGGCTGTTTTGAGCGGGAAAGGAACAGTGCCAGAAGACAAGAAGAGGTTAATGATGTCCGTGAGTAGTGGGGCAAGGAGGTGGAGCTGAGATATAAGGTGAGGGAGCAGGTGGTGGACTACAAGAGACAGCATGACCATTTTCCCTTTAAAGTAGCTACAGTTCGATTAGATAATTGTTCTATACTAACAGTACTCAATTTTAGTCTCATTTCACCAAGATACTGCACTCCAAAAGATACTTTTCACATAATATTCCTCTGCTATAATTTTATCATGTTTTGCCAAACATGGATCCATATTCATCTGACCAGTTATTAAATCTCTAGAACTTCAAATCTTTTTGCTTCCCAGCACAACATTTGGATTAAATTTGCCATATTCCTAAACTCAATTCTTTGCGATTTAGGAGTTTATACACATTGGAAACCATTTGATTAACAGGGTGGCGAAACGTTGAATCCCGGGAATTGGCAACATCCAATAAAAGTGAGCAAAATGTAAACTGAATACAACATCAGGAGTCAAGAAGGATCAACACCGACCAATAAGACTCAGCAGAACAGTCGGTTTTATTACATTATTTAATAATTAAAGAGTTTTTTTTACAACATACATTTGAGTTGTGAATTGGATGTTAGGGACGTGGAGCTGAGGGAAAGATTGTGTTGACATCACAATATTTTACATATTACACAACCAGAATCTGACTGTTGTATCTAAGAGTGTATATCAAGGGTGAGTTCCAAAGGCACGCGTAGGGGCAGAGAGGGATGCACAAAGACTGCCAAAACAAAAAGGCAGCAAATAGCTCAACTACCATTCATTTACATAGGACATCACATTTTTGAATCAAATTAACTCTGTGAGTACCATATTGGCCTTTCAATATGAACTTATCAGAACTCTTGCATAAAGTACTGCAATACATTTCTCAAGTTAAAATCCTAAAAAATACATTAAAATTGCACCCAGAGAGTTAACTTATATACCATCACACAGAAGCAACAGAAGGAAGGTATGAGACCTCTTTTGCCTGAAATGTACACAGTTAAATTAAACTGTCTTGAAGTTTTACTTGGAAAGGAATGCAGCGACGATAGCTAACATAATGAAGTAATGACGATGAAGGACACGGAAGTAGAATATACATGCACCCTTGTTACACACTTTGGTCTAGTTCCTTATCGAATTATCTAGCTACCATTCTAAAAACTAGCTGACTTGCAAGTAATTGTCCAATTGAAAAACCAAACTGCAAAAAGCAAAATAAAAGTACAAAAATAAAAAAAAGGAAAATAAGGGAGAAAACAAAATTTGTACAGAACGGTAGATTTCAGAACCTCATTTCCACAACAGGTTTGACAATTATTTAACAGATAAAAACAAACACTCTATTCAGCGTGATTCAGAAACTGAAAACGAAAAAGAAAACAATAATTAAAACCAGTTGTGCCAAAAGGTTTTCTGTATCCTTCTGGGTGCTCTTACAGCAGTGATAAAACAGCAGGAACCAGCCTGCTTTAAGACTGCCTTTGCCAATTCAATTATCATTTACTATGTAGGTTTTGTGGTGCCTTTAAACGAAGCACAAGCCAATCAGATCACAATTATTTGCCCGCCATCCACACAAACCATATTAAAGCAGATCCGTCTGTCTGAATTATCTAGTGGGAATACATCGTATTACAGTGCTGAAATGAAATATATATATATAAAAAAGAAAAATCACATCCAGAGAAATGCAATTGAACTGCACAAATAGGCAGTCGTGTGTGTGTGTGTGTGTGTGTGGAGAAGGGCAGGGGGTGCAAGATTGGCACGAGCATAGCATGAACATCATCAATTGTGATTTCTCTGGGGACTGGGGATTAAAACTGTATTTGCTTTCAAACTTGATTTCATTCCAAAAAATGGGCCAAACCTAGGTAGAAGAAGCACAATGTGTGTATGTGTGTGTTGTGTGTGCGCTCACATCTGTGTGTTATTTAAAAAGGAGAAACGTGTTTGCAGACTACAAGCTAACTGTACACAATTGATGTTGTAAGGCACAAATTTACACATGGAAGAAAAAGAGGCTTGTCACACAGATGTATTCCCAGTCAGAACCAGCGCGATAAAAGTATGATTTATGCATGGTAACAGCTTGCTTTTCAGCAATATGCCAGCTCCACTGCGATGCTCGGCTGTCCCACATGCAAAGCTGAGCTGACTGGCACATGACACGTTTGCACCCTTGTTGCAATATCAGTTACTGATAAGACCAAAAGGACCATGAAATCCTCATAACATCCTCTTGCTAAAAGATGGTGTCGCCATCTGTGTGCATGGATTCAGAGTTCTTTCCTCTCCCGCTTCCTCATTCTCAGGAGGACAAACTGGGACATTTTCATAGACACGTTACTCCCCCCTCCCTCCCCACCCCACCACCTTAAGCTCACCACGGATGATGAAATGAACCTGTGACCACCTGGCACAATAAAATAAATATCCCCTTCTTCCTTCCCCCTTTCCCCCTCCCTCCCTCAGCACTTTGATAACCCTGCCAGCAGCGGAGTAGAAACACTGAGCTCAGATTTCCACCTCCATATTGTTAGTGGATTGTTACTTTTTAAAAAAGCATTGAATGTCTCCAGTTAATTGACTTGACTTAAATAATTACAAACATCATTACATTTTAGACTTCTTTGTGATTTTTCTTAAGAGATATCCATAAACTCATTTGAAGGAGTCAGTCATATTTTTGAAATAGCACTTAAATAATAAATACCAGGAGCTATTAAGTGTTAATAGTCACATTAATCATTACAAGGAGGACAGTAGCAGAGATGTAGGCTGAAGCCTTGCCTAAGAGGCAGTATTCTGCTGTGACCAAGCGGATGTAACACTGAGAGGCATTTCACAGTATCTGCAAACAGTAAACTTCAGCCATTTCTTTAAGTCCAAGATGACTTCTTCAGTGCTTTGATTTCAAACATCTCCCAAGAGACTAATATGCTGTTGGGTCAAGAAGACATGACACTTTTTTGCCACAGTTTTGTGCTTTTGGCTCATCATTCCATTCCATTAGTGTGCATCGATTGTTAACCCCCCACTTAGACAGCGGCAGTCCAATAGCTGCTAACCCCAACCTTTCAGACACTGAGTTCAGTAGCTGTTGCAGTTGTAAGAAAAGATTCCACTTTTCCCAGGGAGAAGGGGGAAAACATCCTCAGCTTATCATCAGCTTTTTATTTTTGTAAAACAAAACCGGTGTTGCGGTTGCAAAGCACTGACTCAGAAAGCAGGGTCCATGTAATTTCCTGCCTTCCGTCAGGATTATGTACACCCATCATTTGGCTTCATGGAGTTTGAAAGGGGAACAAACATAGGTTTTGGTGGGACATCCGGTTTTAAAGAGGCTGTGCGTTTGACTCCTGATCTCGGCAGAGAGTTGTACGCTGCATTGATGCTCGACCTCCTCGATATGGTCACAGCCTGCGTCTGAGACTGGCCTGCGCTCACGAGCATGGAGTCCACTCTTTGTGGTGCAGGAGGTGGATTCTCTCCCCTATTAAAACTCTGGTTCCTCGAAAGGTGAGAGGAATTGGAGGAGTTAGTATTGTGGTTTCTTTTGAATGCTGATGTCTGAGGATTTCTTTGCAAGGAGTTGCTGGGATAGTTTCTCTTGTATTCAATTGCATATGAAGCAGAAGGGACGTCCAGTCGCTTGCCCAGACCATTATGAGGCAAACCCGAATTATTGGATGCAAGAGAGGCTTCTCTTTGAGGGACTTTGGGTGGTATGTGATCTAGGCTCGCTACCAATCCATGACAAGGGCTTTTCATACTTCTATATTCTAGTGTGGCATTCTGGTCTTCACTAGTCATGTGCCCCATGTCTGATCGGTGCCCTTGATCTCCATATTCATGCTGGAAGCTCTGTTGAGTGGTTGGAAGGACCACAACACTTGGGATGTGGTTGGGCGATGCATGGAGAGGCAGATCCATGGAGATGACTGGGGATCCCATGGATCCCAAGTCTTTCGTGCAGGCATTGATCAGGTTCTGGTTCCTCTCCCACTGGCTGCTCCCGCGGCTCATTCTCCTCTTCTGCTGCAAGGTGGGTGTAGACTCCGGAGTCGGCAGGGCCGTCAAGTCCAAATGGTGCTGGTCAGCTTTGATTAGTGTTCTGGTTGTGCCATTAGGAGTCACCATTCTACCGTTGTGCATCAGAGGAGTGAGCAGAGCTTCTGGTTTGGGATCCTTTGTCTGTGTATCAAACAACCCACCGAGTTTGGTGACGCTGGCCATGGAAGCTCTGCGTGAATGAGACGACTCTTTCTCCTTCCTCCGGCTGAGGTCGATGTCTCGCCGCCGATGATCGCATATGCAGTAGACTATGATCCCAGAGAAAACTGCCCCCATGATGAAGGCGAGGATAACTGCAATGGCCAAGAGGGTGACCGGAACAAGCTGATCGTGGCCTTTGAGGTAACTTTCGCGAATTACTCCTGAAACGTTAGACATTAGACAGAGTTTAGTGCACAAGAAAATCATTGCCATTCTCTTACACACTCACACTTACAGGTCATGGAATCCTCAGCCTGCACAACACCATTTTGCAACCTATAAAATAAAACATTATCTCCTCTCTCACGGCAGCTACTCACTTCTGAGTGATGAACATTCATGTGACACAGATATTCAAGTACTATACAAGGCTGCTTCATTTTCCATTGGAGCCAAGTCATGTACAATAAAAGAGCAATAAAAAGCCTCACGCCCAATGCAGCTGTTTTATGCTATTAGGTGGACTGTACAGTTAAGATTCAAAAACTTGGAGAAAGGAAAATCAGCATAATGGTCAAAGTGAACTGTGGCCTACAAGTGCAAGCATGTGCACAACTTAAACAATGCAGTTTCTCCTCTAGTCCCACTGCTCCTAGTTCTTACACAGTTTACAAAGAAAATATCACAATAATATTGGGCAGAATTCTTGTGAAACCAAACTCCAGTGGGACATATGATCTAGGATACTGGGCTGTAACTTACAAAACCCCTGAGAACCAGAGGGTGCTTCCAAAGCTATAATCTGAATTTCTTCACAACAACAAACAGCCAGTGGAGTTGTGAATATTACAAGGCAAATATATGGACAAAGCAATACTATGCTGGGTAGCTCAGGTAAAATCAGAAGGGTCTATGTTTAAGTACTGATGAAACCACTCAGCCATTCACCCTTTTGAGTTTCATATGTCAAAAAAGGAAGGCAAGCCCAACTGAGCAAAGCCCTGGAGGTGGGCATAGTCCATGTAAATCACTGGCAGTTTAATATTATCTGAATTGTAGCAGCTTCTGCAAAAGGTCAGTCAGTTGGCCTCACGAAACCTCAACTAGCTGTGCTCTTCAATAAGTCTAAGCAGTGGGCTTATATTATGCATCATGTGATGACGTGTAGAATAGGAATGAAATGTGCCCAGATTTATGTAAAAAAAAATGCAGAATTAATCCTTTGCATTGGCTGTCAATTATGAAATTAAAGATATCCGTAATTTCTTCTGTGCACATGGCTTACATATGGTGCATAATAGACGGCTTTGGCCTTGAAACAAAGCCCGAGGTTGAATAAAATGCTCACTTCATGGCAGCATTCCTACAAGTATCTGCAGTTCAAAAAAGGAGTAGACTTTAGACGAGTCGGTAGGTGAGTTAATTCTGGTCACCAAACGAGTCATTAAAGTAATACTAATCCTTGCATTTGACATAGCACCTTTCGTCAAAGGATGAGTGGAGAATTGCTCCCAAAAAAGGAGGGGGAATGAAAGCATCCTGCCCTGAGAGAGGGGAGGGGAGGAATCCTGCCCTCGGGAGGGGAAGCGGGAGTTGGGGGGATCCTGCCTCGGAGTACAGAAGGGGAGTCCTCCCCTCGAAGAAAAGAGGGCGAGTGGGGAAGTCCATTACAGCTGAAACCGATGCTTACCGAAACTCGCTTATGCGATGCTCAGACACATGCACTGGTTCCAGCAGGGACCACTGAGTAGTTAGCAGAAATGAATTGTCCAGCTGATTGTTCCCTCCTGACCCAGAAGAGACCGGGGCAGATTGTAGTTGAAGTGCCCCCATTGTCACCCCGGCTGAAATCAGCTATCTGAGCCATGTCCAGGGCTCAGTAAGCCAGGGAAGGGTTGGTCTATTGATACTGAAACAAATAGTCCTTCGTGAAAGTTGCTGAGACATGATGATCGAGTGATTATTTAATTACACCCTCCGGCACTGTTACTCAATTGCATGAATGCAAACGTTCAGACTGTACAGCTCACTGCATTTTAAAATGTTTTGCATTTCAGCAAAGAAATGTCAAAAATAAAAACCCATGAATAATTCTATCTTAATTTACACTTTGCTAAATCACTATCCAATTGACATTAAATGCAGCTTGTATTTAAACAAAAACAGTAAATCCTTGTTAACACCAGCTGTGGGGTCAATATAAGGGCACAATTTATTTGTTGATGGGGGGAGTTGGGGGTCTGCTGGGTAAATGCAACCACACTCCATCTTGGTGTCAGCCGCTGAGCAGACACTATTTGTCAGTCTTTAAGTCACAACTTTCAAAACAATGCAGTCCAAAAAGGCCACTTAGTGAAGTAAATCTTTTCTCGAAGTCCACTGTTTTCCTTCAGCTAAATAGGCCATTAGATACACACCAATATTACACACACACACACACACATCTGTTTACCTCGGTCTTTAAATTACATAAATCACTGCATATAAGTAGTCATGGCCCGTAACATTTCCAAGTGAATAATGTCTGAATCATAAGCTAGAAACACATTGGTTCCGAAGTAATGGTGTGATGACAACCTGTATTAATTGTAATGAATAGGTTAGAATTCTTCATATTAATGGATGTCCAGCAGCCTGGGCTAACATTTGATGTAAAATTCCCACAAATGATCGAATACATCCTTTCAACAATATGCAAACCTTGTAAACAAAACATGTTAAAATATACACAGTGCTGGCTGTTACAGCAAAATAAACTATGAAAGATATTTACTTTGCAGGTTTACTGAGTAAACAGGAGCAAACACAACAAGAGTTTGGCAACTGCCCTGCAGGAGAGCTTATAGCCATATGGCAACAGTCAACCCTGCTGATCGGGACAAAAGCTCAGTCCACAATCTTGAGGGCACTGAGGTTTGAGTCTGCATCAAGGCTTTAGTCTCTTTTTCCACCAAGCCTTCCAATTAGTGGGAAGATGGGAACATTGAGCACCAGATAATAGTAGTTGTCATAAGCAAGAGGCAGCGGTCTTCATGTCTGCCTTGATAATAAATTACAGATGGCTCAGAAATTCAATCCTGTCTGTACATTACAGTATATCAGTTATGAGAGTTATGAGAAAACTGCATTGCAGAATGGAATTGTATCTGCAATCTCACTTGTTCAAGAGAATATCACAAAGTGGCACACGGATACAAGGTACAGATATGAAAGCTCTCTGGCATCAAATTGGATAAACCAGCAATTCTAAACCCCTGCATGACATGAGTGCAATATCCATACCATACAGACAAAGAGACTACACAAGCTCCCAGTCATCGGAGGGTTCGAGAGATGAAGGGGAGGGAGAAGAATATATTGTTGACTCAAGACACAATGAGAGAGATCAGGAACTGCTACGTAAGGACTGAAAGTGCATGCGGGTAGAGATCAGAGAGAAAAGAAAGGGAATGGTCAATTCCTAAAAGGAAAAAAAAGGGTTTTAGTTGTACTGTACTTTGAAGTGAATTTTCCATTTTGGTTGTTAGTAAGAATCGTACTACATACTGTGAGGCCTTGGGAACATTTCATACAGGGTGATGAAATGCTCAGTGGAAGGGAGGTCTTGAATACAATGGCAGCAGAAAGGAGGGTTAGACTGGTGAGCAACAATCAGTTGTCACTAAAGGTGAGTCAATGATCAGTTTATTACAAAAATATGGCAGCAAGAAGCATACTCTGAAATTTTTTTTGTTTAAGTTATAAATGGTCGACTCAATTTGACTGTACAAATTCAACAGGATTTTAAGCAAACAAGAGTTGGGCTATTTTTGATTGTTNAAAAAAATTCCAGAGTACATTTAAGTACAAGAAGCTGTTGCATACACAATGCCGTGCCTATGTGAAGCCACCAGTCAGGTAATTCTGTAAAGTCCGTAATTTTTCATTTTGTTTCAAAGAAGAAATAACTGGAAGATGGCTGAACATATGGGCACGCCATGAACCAAGGAGCCAGTGGGAAACACAGAAAGCAAGTGGTTAAAAAGGAGCAATATTCAGCAACACAGCAAAGGCACGGAGACAACGGCAGATGGAGTCACACCGCACACGCTGATTTCATTCTAAAAAAAGTGACCGGATGCAAGTCAACAGAGTGATAAACAGGAAGAATCCCCATGCAGCACGGTGCAAAACAAACTGAGGGGACAGACAGAAGTCCAGATAAGTGTGAAGAATAAAAAATCATGGCACAAAGTTTTTTTAAAAAAATCAAATCCATTTTCCAATCAAACCATCGAGTGCAGTTGACACCAAGCTTCACTGACAATTTAGCGGATTAAAGCACACCCACACCACAGCACCCAATCCATGCAGTCACCTCTGCTACCATTGTTTTTCGCACGCAACAAACTGCTTCCAGCTTTTGCACAACATATTAGATCGAGCTCCACAGAGCACTGAATATTAAGAGACCCTAATAAGGGGCCAAGATTCTTGGCTCAGCCCATTCCCTGAAATAACCACAGTTGAGCATAAAGAGAACTAAAGCCAAAGGAAAATATGAAGCTTAGATGTTGGAATTTTTGCCAATCCATGTTAAGGGGTGTACGTACGGACCCATTTCATTTTTGTGATGACATTTTCTTTCTTCGTTGTTACCCTCACCTTTCATGTCAGGTACATTTACAAAGTAGCCTTACTCTATAGATAGTACTTTCCACTTTAAGATACATCAAGCATTAAATGACTAACAATATCACCTACCTCACCTACCCTTGAAGTAAGTTTCCAACTCGCATTATTCTCAGGCTTCTTGATAATGCTGAGCAAGGTTTGTCAGTTCACAAGATCTAAAGCTCCCTAGTTTCATTCGTTTTTATCTCCCCTTGGTTTATGCTCAACTGGGATGTGCTGAGAAAAACACAGTTTATTGTAGGCACCGAATAGTTCTAATAATAATATTGTGTGGTGTACACCTATTAGGATAATGTACTGAACAGGCTTGAAATGAAGTGCTTTTTAAACAAGAAATGTCCTCATGAAAGTCAGTGATGTGGAATGTGTTTTTCCAACCAGATTAACTGTGAAGAACTTGCATGCCAGGTATAACATGGGCCAGATACAGTCATGCTTCAGTAAATTATGATGATGATGGGATTGAAATTCTACTTGGGGTCTAGATTTACTCTATTTATGTAGCATTTCAGAGAGTCCAGAATTTAACAAATTCTTAAATACAGCCTTATTTCTGAAGTGGTTTCTTTGCAAAAATAACAAAAGTTCTTTTGTTTGATAGTGGGTTGTCTCAAAGCGTTTCATGGGATTCACTCTAAACTGTAGTGAGTGTGTATTTTGAAGGCAAACATGGTAGCTCATTTTGGTCACAGCATTGACTCACAGAAAACCATGAAATGAATAACCAATTTTATCTGGGAGATTGTTGGCCAAATTGCTTTCGAAAACTGGCTTCAAATTAAAGACTGAATTCAACAATGTGCCAATGTCTGCACACACTCATAAGCTTAGAAAACAAGAGTATCTCGACCCGGAATTTTATCTAAGATGTGCTTTAACCCTATCCTTACAAGGCATCCTCTTATTGGAGAGGTGTGAAGTTTCCCACTTCTCACACCAGCTATCCATATGGCTTTTTAGACATCTTGTGCTCTTGACTTGCAGCCACTAAGTCTGAGTTGAAACAATCTAAACTCATTTCATGGAGGACTCTTCATGGCCAACGGAAAAAAATACTTTCATCTCTTCATTCTCAGCCTGTTGTGAGCTGAAGTCCCTGAGATAAGACTTGACTATGTACCTGACCTGCACAAGGTCTTATGACTAAACTGTGCTGTCAATTCAAAGCTTGTCAGATGTAATTCAATGTCAAGCCGCCAGTGTGCTGTGGTGTACCAGGAGTACAGCGTGCTGCAGCATATACGTGCTCTTCCCATCGCGCAAGGCAGGATGTGCTTTGTGTCTGGGGATGCTGTACACAGGGACGTCTCATCCAGTCCTTCACAGGACATGCTGGGTGTAAGGCCAGCATTTCCAGTGGGTGGGCAGATCAGGCTCCACATCTATATATAGATACGTCCCAGATGGGGAGGAGGGAGGGAGAAAGAAAATAATTATTGGGAATAAACAAACATTTGGAAAATAAATAGGGCACAATTTAATAATAACAAGCATTTGAAACTGTATGGATAGATTTTGATTTTAAAACGTTACAGCATATTGGAAAATGATAGCGCAATGAGATAAAGACTGAGGAATATTGAGTCTCGGTGATGGGTTGGTAAGGTGAGAAAAGTGATAGTGTTGCTTTCAGCCTGTTCATTACACAACTCCATCGGGTGAATGAAATGCCGGTTACAGTTACCTGGGAATGACGCCAAGAACCAAGCAGGAATCCCCAATTTATTGTTTCTTAATTTTGAAAGTTACCATTAGGTTGGGTGCAGCTGGAAGCAGCTCCATTGTGGTTCAGCCCCACCACAGGAAAGAAGGGCTTCCAAGGCCTTACCGTTTGTATCATGGCGATTGGGTGGAGGATTGGCCACGTACGGGTCAAGGTTTTCTGAGGACACAACAACATTCTTCTGATCCAGCATCCTCCCCAGAGCATCATACCCCTCCTTAACTGCTGTAGGAGGGTTGGTGGTGGAAAAGGCAGAACTGAAGCGGCCTGTCATTATTGTAAACACAATCAAGGTCATTCTATTCGATTAAGGATAAGATTTGACATTATGTAAAAAGTGAATGGCGGGGGGGGAGGAGGGGAGGGTGAAAAGAGAAAGAAAAGAGAAAAAAACCCTCAACTTCACTACCCTCATCAACTCAATTCGATGGTTACATTTACTCCTGTTTCTCCCATTGAAGCCAATATACAGACCAGATACATGCAGCTGTGACACTGGTGTCTAAAATGAATCGAGCAGCATCAGCACCATGTGGCTAAGAGCACCGCATGCGAAGTAAACAGCGTCTCCTCCAGGGCATCCCCAGGACGTCACACGAAGGTTTGGGTTACAATGAGATTTCAGCTCCCAACTGAAGGCGTGTGTGACGTCCATGATTGAGGGAAAGACATATGGAACATAGAGGGAAGAGGGGAGTTGTGCATGATGTATGGGGAGAGACATGTGAAATGTACAGGGTGGGGAAGGCATGCAGGATTTACAGGAGGTGAGACATGTATGACAGGGGGATTAAAGTCGCTGTTTAAGTATTTTATCTGCAGCCACATAATGGTAATGCCACTCGAGCACCTTTCAGATGGCAGTGGATGGCAAGCTGCCGGCACGTCCCAGTTGTGTGACAGCAGTTTGCAATAGCCGTGACAGCCACACAATGGGCTTCTTGAGAGACAGCAAGATTGAAGCAAACATTTTAAAGGTTGTTAACTAGGATTTTGCCACAGGACTGTCCTTCAGTCTGCAGCAGCAACTAATCATTAAAAGGATTTATTTTGCTTGCCGCCACAGGCTGAAAGACTGCTCTGACAAGGCCACTTCATCACTCACGATCTGCCATGATAAGAAGCGGTGCTTTAGCCACTGACATTAATAGTGTGGCCTGAGGCTGCATTTATATTTCAGTAAAAAATAATCATGGGGGTGGGGGGGCTGTGGGGATGCCACCAATACTACCTTGGTCTCACAGAAGAAACTATTTACAAGAAAATAGATTACTGGGAAACACGCTACATCTCTCTTAAAGACAACAACTGTAAACTTGAGTTTACTACTGGCAGACTATAATTCCCTGTAATTAAATGATATATTACAAAGTGTGCATGAATTATACCTTGTCAGTGTGTAAACGGCGTATTAGAATGATGTTTACTCATTACAGTTACCTCGACTTTTCATAAAGTCACCTAATCCTGCTTTCTCCTACATTTTAACGTTCTAATAAAACTTCTTTCTCCCCCCTTGAGCTTATCATCTTTTATATTATTTTATATACAAACCAGATATGACAGTAGGCTAGGAGGAAATTCTGCCCAAAAGCAGATTACAGTGCGCTAACTGATTGCATCTGGGAGATATTCACAACAGGAAAGCTTATTAAATACAGCTGTATAAGCTGCCTGCTGATTTACATCTCCACAGAAACTTATGCACAATCTAAAGAATGTTCCAGAAATTAACAGGATCGGGTAAGAAAGCTCTTAAATAAACACAACACGTGATGTGTGGTACTAAGCTACACAGAATAGTTACAATTCCGATCCCTGGTCTGTGTTGAGGTAACTGGCCTCAGGCAGGGCAGCACAGGGGAAAACTGCAGTGGGTTTAGCATCACCAGGCTGGGAGGCTAGTATTAGTGCTGATTCTAGTCCTCAGCCTGGGTTCCTGCTCTCCTTACCATCCCTGGTGGGGTATTGTTTGTGGACAGCAGGCGAGGGAAGGCTAGGATTGGCAGTGAAGCCCTTGATTGTTGAATACATAATGATATTTCAGAATAATATTATAATTCACTAATAACAACCCATACATTTTTCATAGCCTATGTCACAACGTCTCAAAGCGCTTCACAGGGGAATTTCTTTTGTTACTGTATTTTGCAGGCGAATGCAGCAACCAATTTGAATTTGCGCAATGTCCTCAGTCATGAAGTAAATGCCCAATGCTGCTGATGCTGATTGTCTAGGTTCACACATAACAACGTGCTGGTTGAATGAGGTACCAGAGCCCAAGCCGTGCCTGTGGAACCGCAGCACACCCCGAAACTCTGGAACACTCTCCCTCAATCCCTCCGCCTTGCCCCCTCTCTCCCCTCTTTCAAGTCCCGCCTGAAAACTTTCATGTTCGAACGTGCTTACAGCTGCCTGCCCCCTTCCCCCGGCTCGGAGTCAGGCTCCGCCAATGTTAAGCGCTCTGAGACGCTACCCTGCGTGGAGGGTGCTGTATAAGTACAAGTTGTTGTTGGTGGTGGTGTTATAGCACAACTCACTGCCTTCAGGAGAGGAGGGTGAAAAAGGAGGGAGGGCCGTTATTAAGCTCTTTAATACACTACATATTAACACCCATTGCAAAGAAAATAAGTCAGAACTCAAGCTTGTACCTCTGGTAAACCTGTTTAATTTCTGGAATTATCCTCTTCTTATAGAGATACAAGTTAAGCGTTCCAAGATGCTACCCGAGTGAAGGGCACTATCATGAAGAGTGCAATATAAATGCAAGTTGTTGTTATTGAGTTTACGAGAAATTTGTGATGTGAAATGTCTCACATCACACCTGAAGTTTAAGAATAGACAATAAGCTAGGAGAGGTCCAGGGTTATATTATCAACAGTAACTAAGCTAATTCTATATATTTTTATATTCAGTGTGTTAGACAAAACCAGAGCTGGATTAAGGCAGGACAGTAACTTTGAGTAAGCTACAATAGGTTGTTCACCAAATGCCATGGGCTTGCACTATGCTAATACTTTACTAAGACAAGTTAAAGTTTCGCTCTAAATCGATACTACAGGCAAAAAGAAATCTAAAAGCAAGAGCAAAGCAGGGTAAAGCTCAGCTAAAAGGTCTACAGTATTCAAATGAATTGATAGGAAGGTTTATATCAGATTGAAAGTCAAAGAATCAAATGGGAGAACCAAAGCAAAACACTGACCATGTGCTGCATCGTGAGACATTTCATGATCTTGTGGAGTAGTAGAAAGGTCTATAAAGAAAACAAGGGGGGAATGGAAAGACAAACCATATATACGTGTCAAAAGAAAAGAAATAGGGTGAATAAAGGATGATGGTTAATAAAAAAAAGTCTTACATGAATACGAACAGAATCTTTGCCTCCCCACCCCACCCCGGCCACAATCGTTACAGTGTTAACAGATGCTGGTGCCAACAGTTAGTGTATGATAGAATCACAACACGCTTACCATTCAATGCCACGAAGGAGTCTGGAAAAAGAAAACAAAAGAAAAAGTAGAGTTTGTAGGAACGCTGAGCTCCACAAATTAAAACTGTTGCAGGGTCACCCTACCAAGACTCCCCTCACCTCCCCCCACTCCACCCGTTTACAATGTAAAGGCGCCCTGTGATAAAGTGTTCAAAGTGATTTGGAAATGGCAGCAAACTGTTAATGGGATTGTAAAGGCAGCAGAGAGTAGACGGTGCAGTGCTAGTATCAAAGGAGAAAGGAAAAGGCTTCACCATTGAATATAGGGAGGGGCAGGGATTTGTTGGTGAGTTTATTCCTCTCAAACAAACATTGAACAGATTTCACTTCTGTGGGAACTGTTCAGCTAAATGTTTAGTACACACTTCTGTAAAAGTGTGTGGTTTTCTCATGCCACATTCCCATTTTCATTCAAACCATGCTGCTATTTTCTATATCCAAGCAGCCAAGAGGTCAGAGTAACATTTCTCAAACTAATTAGAAAGGGTATGTTGCAATTCGTTCATTCCAAAATACCTAGGGACAAAGGTAAAACATATTTCTACTAGCAAAGAAATAAGTTTACCATGAAATACCTGCAGATGGAAAAGAAGTGACTGACTTTATTGAAAGGATCCCTAAACTGCCTTGCTTTAAGCAGTCAGAATATTCACATCATGAGATATTTTCAAACTATTTCCTCAAATTTCCTTATTTTAACCAGCAGCATCTATTCTTTTTCAATAATATTTCAGATCACGAGTTCTGCACTTAACAAGACAATAAGAGAGGGAGCCAGATATCATCAGGCAGGAACACTCGTACAATTAGAACGCATTTCACCACTCTGTTCAAAGAACACAAAGCTAGCTGTAAGTGTTTCTTTGCCCATAAAATACAGTCAATTCACTTAACAGTATATTCTGTGAAGTGCTTTGAGACGTCTCAAATAAGACGTGATAAGGCGCTGTATCAAATTCAAGGATTCTTATTATTATTTTAAAATGAAAAGTGGGGGCGGGGGTGATAATGTATGGAACTTCTGTGATTGGCATGTATCGATGAGTGAGCAAGAGACAATCTTTTAAAGATACAGACTGGCCCATTGAGATGACTACCTTTTGTCATTTGGGAATTTTCACACTGTTAAGACTCGCTCTTTAGTTCAAGCACTATCCTGTTGAAATAACATTGTTACTGGGACATCAAAAGTATCTTTAACCCAAGAAAAACATGGGTTTGCTTACTTTGGCAATCTCCCAGACCATCTGTGTTGCCTTGCTCAATATCTTGCTCAAACCCGGATCTAAAAGAGAGAGAGAGGGGGATATCAACAGTCAGGAACACCAAAAAGCCAAATATTTCCTCTTAGGGCTCAGAAAATAAAACAGAAATATACCCCAACAAACAACAAGATCCATTAAGTGCCGAATGCTAAAATTTGTGCTCTTTTAATTGCTTGAGATTCCCATTGTTGACCTTCATATGCCTGGTGATTTTTCTCCGTGCATTAAAGTTACATCTTTGTAAGTGTGTCACTCTTTGTTCAGTCTGATCCCTAACATTAAGACCACCAAGGAATGACATTCTAAAAATAGAACCAAAAAAGGCCAACAGGCCAATTGCTGCTATTCCCAAATGACACACAATACCCCAGGGAATCTGCAAGAATACCCTACAAACAATCCAACAGCATTCACTTTGAAGAGCCCAGCATTTGCCAGAGGCTCAGCCCTGACCCTCGCTTGTATCCCTCACTTCTACTCGGTTAATTTCTCAGGTCAGGCCGTTTTGCACTTTCACCTTTTTTTCAGCTGTTACTTACTTAAACGCAGGAGACAACTCTGCACAAACTCCTTTTTTTAGCCAGCCGCAGTAAGGGTCTCGAGAAGCAATACATGTCCTGGGGAAAGGCAGAAATGTTAATCATTTAGTGTTATCATTGTGGATATAAACCTAGAACAAGAGGATTTCCTGCCCATACACTTTAGCAATGAAATGCCATGCCAAATCAAATCTTATAAGGTAATTGACAAGACAACTCTCAACTCACTTTTTGCACCTGCCATGACGCTCGCATCGAGCCAGAGGTACCTTCACCACACACGTGGAGAAGGCCACGTACAGGGAGTCGCTGAGCTTGTCCAGCTGCATACCCACAATCCTCCGGTCTTCTACGCCATCTGTGCTGCACCTGACAAAAAAGGCAACTAGTAAGTGAGAATGAAATGTAGTCACTAGCTCGGCTGTCTGTCACCAGGCTGTCTTGTTATAACCATGTGCACAATATGCTCCTTCAACTGGCCTGCCGCTCGCTCAACAGAAATGACAATAACATGCCTCCTGCACAATCGGAGATGAGCTGTTCTCATTAGCAGATACCCATTGTGAAGTACCAGTACACATACTTCTCTGAATTGTAGATGTTAATCTCTTCCAAGAAGACGCTGTCATTGATGATGCCAATGCCTGTTTTGGCAAGGAACTTTAAGACAACTCCTCTCTCTGACCCCAGAAAAACCACAGTGTAATTCTGGTAGGGCCCAGCTGCATTATCCACGGCAATTTTAGTCAGTCGATATCTGCAGAAGCAAAGAGAGAATGTTCAAGCTAATGTGAAGGTTTTGAAAGTGATGCACATTAAAAATTCTGATGAATCTTAAGCTTTGCTCATAAAATATCTCATGAGAGAGTAGAGTGTAATTTAATATAACGTTCACATAGAGCAGAATCCTTGCAGAGAGGAAGTCTGCAGTAACCCAAGGCAGAGTTGGAAGTGGAGTCCATTGATTGTCCTAAGCATTGCTAGCCAAACTAGCAGGGTAGTTCTTGCTGGACATGTCATGTACTCCACAATTATCAATTTTCCCCACTGGATGCATATTAAAACAGTACCCAGGAAAATGATAGTGTTACTGGGGCCTCACAGTGTAAACTGGGTAGTGACCTGAAGCTGCAATACCAAAAGCCCAAACTCAACAAAATGCAGCAGTTTCTCCACACTTGGATGAGGCTATTTAGTTATGTGGACTGACAGTTTTGTCAGGAACTATTTATTGACCATTTTAAGGTGCCTTCACTCACGGAGAGCGTGCGTGTGTAGAAAGTCAAGTCAGCAGCAAATATCAACTGTGCTTCTTACATGCTTATGTCGTGCACAGAAAGTGACTCTGTGGCTGACAGCCATTTTGGCTTTGTACCCCTTTACAACACTATGCTTGGGTTTATAGACTCAAAACAATAAGTTATAATGTTTTTTTTCCATATATGGGAATCACAGCATGTTCACTGTTTAACAGCTGTGCTTCCTTTAAGTACACGTTACTCCAAATTACACACTAAACAAAACACTTCCCTAGCAACTAAGCTAGAAGATCTTCACTGATGACTTAAAACAGTCCCCAAATACACAGTTGGAAAAGAACCAAATTATACGTTTTTTCAAACATTGTCAGATTGCCCACAGGTAAGTTTACATTTAACTACTTGATGCACAGAGAGTGATGAATGTAGTCACGGGGAGTCGGCAATTCAAGAGGGAGAAAATCTCTGGATAGTTAACGTGCAGTGCAAATCTCGACTGATTTTCCCCTCCCTAAAAGATGAGGCCAAGCACAGCATTCCAACTACTGTCCTACCAATGATCAGCTGACTTATCTGTGTGGCTTATTTCGGACAAAGCAGTGGCTTTACCCATTAGCCTATCACAGAAGCCTATATATGATATTTGTATTCAGTCAGTACAGACAGTTGAATAGATATCACATTCAGCTTGTTCTGATTTTTACTTATAATAATAATCCTTGCATTTGATATAGAGCTTTTCACGTCTTCTAGACATCTCAAAGTGCTTCACAGAATATACTGTAAAGTGAATATACTGTATTTGTTGGCAAAACATGGAAGCCAATTGCACACAGCAGTGTCCCACAAACAGTCTTGGATTGAAATGATCAATTTTATTATTGTGTGTTTTTTTCTTGAGGGATTATTATCAGGCATGTGGAGTAAGGAAACTTTCCCAAGGTTTCGCCCTGCCGGGAATCGAACCCAGGTCTCTCACTTGTGAAGTGAGTGCTCTAATCGCTGAGCTACAGGACTCCAATTTGAAGCAATGACAAAATTTGGCTGATTTACAACAGGTATTTTGTACGATCACCCAGCAGTCCACACTGCCACAAAACCCACTGTTCAAATGCATCTGTGAAAATGTTCTATGGTGCCACGCTTTTCTTGATCCTCTGAATTTCTTTCTGCATAAAATGCACATCCTAGCTTCATTTAATGTCCACACACACACAAACACACGCACACACGCAAACACACATTCCAGCAAGCATGACTGGTTAGTGATCAGAAGCAGGAATAATTTATCCCCCCTATCTCTAGCTTGGGGCCACAAAGTCCACACGTGGTCTCTCATATCACCCCGACAATATTCTGCTAATACAACATAGAACCGGGATCAAAAGCAAGTCCTTCCCAGGCTGTACGCTCTAATTCCAAACCAGGGTGTGTATATACCCACTGAACCCTCATATAAAGCTTCAACTTCAAATATCTTGATGCAATAGTGAAGGATTAGTAGTTGTATTCAGTTATAATCCATCTTTTCTTTTTTGGTCCAGCTTTGCATAAAATTCCTCTGTGGATCAGAGATTCTGTTGCTCTGGTTCAAACCAATGCCAGACGAAGTCTGAACTGCATGAAAACAAGACTGAATGAAGAAGGCGTTGCTAACCTGACCATCGTCCTCTGAAACCACGGCCGGGTGTCGATTGAAGGGACAGCCTCGTCCAGGAGAGGGTGCGTTTTAATAAAGTTGAGGGTATCGTCTGGGAATTCATTGGAAGTCGCATATCTTTCGAGTAACATTGAACCTGCACAACATCCAGGCCTGCCATAGAACAAAGAGGAGGATTGTTAAGAAGCAGCCAAGAGGAGCCAGCAGTGCAGCCAGGTTTTGAGGATTATGGGTGCATTCTCACATGAGGTAGTAAAAAGGAAGTTAAACACTGCATCTCGTCCATTAAACTATTCATGGACTTTCTTTGGGTTTTAATTTTTGAATGGGAGTTGAAGACTGCTTTCTTCTGTAAGGCTTGGAGACTTACCAACAGCTCATGTGATCCACACTGGGGTAGCTGTGCTGCTGAAACATACAGACCCAGGGATTTTCTCCGCATCAATTACAGAACTTCAATCCACAATGTACACCATGTTCGCTTTTAATATTTTATCCGTGTCCCAGTTTCTTCTATTAATTATTTATCAAATAAACTGAATTACTCTTAGTGTCAATCACATTACATTCTTTCTGCGGTGGCTTTCTTTTTATTTATATCCATTAAGAAAAAGATCTGCAAATTCTGGTGAGGCTTAGCTGGTTGGTGTCTCTTCTAATTAAAGAAGACAACAAGGAGATTATGAATATCATAAAGTGAATGTAGGACCATAGATAGTGGTCTCCTTTCTCCTAACACAGAAGACTAGCAGTCAGTTATGTTTTGGCATAGTCAAAAAGCTTCAGAAACCTTCAAAAGATTTAAACCAAAGTGTTCTTGTGTATAGGAGGTTGTGTCATGCAGAGAGGTTTTGGTTGTAAGGTTCACACAATAGGGGTAGAAATTCTGCTTGGTAATTCCACTTCTATAATTCTTAAAAGAAATGTGCAGAAAACCATCTTTGAAATTAGGGCTGCATTTAAGAATTTGCTAAAATTCTGGTTGTTTTGAAACGCTAACTCAACATAGAAAATCTAGAAGAAGAAAAAAGCAAAATACTGCAGATGGAAAATCTAGATGCAAGTGGAAAGCTTGTTAGATGTAATAGGAGAAGGTGTAGAAAGCCTACTGTCGGAACAGCACAATCCAAATCTGGTTGCAACTTGCTCATGACTCTCTTTGGATATATTTTGCCAACTCTCATCAGGCTCCCTCTCTGCACCAGCAAAAGGGATCTAATCCTCCTGTCAAACATGAGAAAGCAGCGCTGACCAAAGACGAGAAAAAGTCTGCAGCCTGGACAACTACAGCAAAAGGAATTAGTGATGAGGATAGTAATGTGGCTGAAAGTAGAAATAAAAAGGGCAATTTTAATTTTCATATTAGTACAGCAGTCGAAGATAAGGTGATATTGTCCTTTTGCTGGAAAAATGTACAGAATTTGAAAAATAGAGGGACCCCCAAACCAATTAGTTTGAAGTAAATTGGGATTGGGAACAAGGAGCACGAGTCATCAACTTTTCAAATAAAATTAAACTTAATGATAATAATAATCTTTGCATTTGATATAATAATAATAATAATCCTTGCATTTGATATAGCGCTTTTCATGTGTTCTAGACATCTCAAAGCGCTTCACAGAATATGCTGTAAGGTGAATTGACCGTATATTTGTGGGCGAAAAGTGGCAGCCAATTGCGCACAGCCGTGTCCCACAAACAGTCGTGGATTGAAAATGACCAATTTATTATTGTTTTGTAGGAATTATTATTAGGCGTGTGGAGTAAGGAAACTTGCCCAAGGTTTTGCCCTGCCTGGAAATTAACCCAGGTGTCTCGCTTGCAAAGCGAGTGCTCTAACCACTGAGCTACAGGACTCCATTATCAAATATCTTTATCAAATAAAGAACTTATTTGATAAGGGACAACTTTCATGCAATAAACCAAGTCAAGTAAGAACAGCAGCTGAAGAATTTAGACTGCATCCAATTTAGATTGCATCCAACCCCAGTCCTTGAAAAAGACTAAACATTGATCCCTTAGAATAGACCAGAAATCTACTGCGAGGAAAATATTCAAATAAAATGAAAACAAACACTCCTATATATAGTGGTCAAAGCAACTTACATCCCTTTCTTTAATGGTTGTTCAGCATCTTTTGTGTTGTTAGCTCGCCCTTTAGCTGAATTATGGTTTTGTGATGAGATGAGGAAAAGGGTTGTATCATTTTCACGGGGGGAGGGGGAATCTTGAAATGATGAAAACTTTTATTAAGGACAAAATCATTACTGCTTTCTTCAGTGCAAATTCTTATTCTCTTTTTGTCCATTCATTCCAGCGGAAAACCATTTAGGACTGTTGCCAAGAAGCTTTTATACTTCCAAGGGTATGAATTTTTTAAAAAAACATTCCTGAGCGGCGCCAGCGTACCTTGGCTTAGGAACCCGTTCTTCAGCCACTGGTGTCCAAGTGGAATCCGAGGATTTCTGCTCTTTGAACCGACCAGTGAACACAGTGGCTACATCCGCCATGTCGTAGGCACAGACTGCTGAGCCAGGGATGCTGAAATGTGATGTTGACCAGAAGAAACACAAGTTCACACAAGAGCTATGTACAAAATTCATCTTTAAACCACAGTAAACTTGGCATCCTGTTCTGCTACAAACAAGCTACTCAGTAATGAGCTTTCACAGCTAACCTCGGAGGTCCTCTCACACTCACTCTCTCACACATGCACGCACACCCACGCACACACTTCTCTGGACACTGCTCCCTGCCGAGGACAAATGTTTTACAGTCTTGAATTTATTTTTAACAAGAAAACAATAACCATTTGGATGCTCGAAATTCAAACAAAAAGCAATGGACAACAGATATCAAGCCTCCCCCAAAAAGGCTGCATAAAAATTCTAGCCACATTCCAAAAGGATTCAGAAATATATGTATTATTTTCAGTATAATGTTTGTTTTCCCGAGATACTTAATGCAACAAAGAAAACACTAGGCTAATAGATAAACATTTATAAGTATTACCTCTATTGATAAACACTAGCTATTTTACAGAGTTAAAATGTAAACATATACTGTTACAATTTAATTTCATTTAAAACAGCAAACCACTGAACAGATTAAGAAATGGCAGATGATTAGCATGTGTGCTCTGAAAATCTTATTATGGGACCCCAGTAAAATTACATTTGACCTATTTGTAATAACAGCCTTCAGCCTACTGATCAGCACTGGCCATTTAAACAAGCACTGTTTCTTCAAGAAGACGAGGCTGCTTATTCTAACAATAGAAGTCTTACATTCCTCGAGGGAGATTTACCCCACACCATGTTTACCTGTTATATGGAGTAGAAAATATAGCTAGAACGACATCACGGCCATCAATATGGACAATATCTGTGACCGACTGAAGGATGTTGAAGTAAAAGTGCGAGTCTCCTGGTACGGAACAGTTCAGACGAGCCTTTATAAATGACGTCCATTGCTTCTCCAGTACTCTTTGAGAACCTCCCATGTCGTTTTTACACACCCGGGCCACTCGCGGGAAAATAACCTGAAGGAACAAAAGCACGAGTCTCTATCTCTCTCGAACCACCAATTACCAACACTAATTTAAGTAAGATTGTCCCTATCTCCAACAACGCCCCTGCCCACCCCACCACACACACAAATAAATCACATACAATAAAATTTTAATATAAATTGAAGCCAGGTTCCCAGTGGCACAAGAGTCTTGGTGCACTGGTGTGTTAAAGCATACTATTTATTCCTGCCAGCTAGATTCCCTTTCCTTTCTCAAATGGTTTGCAAATGGAGTAGGAAAAAAGTATCAAAAGTTTCCTTCAGCCATTACCAAGGGACCAGTGGCCTATATCACACACAGGTTCACCACAAATGAATGGTAAAGCCGAGTCCAAAAACATTATTTAAAAGGTAATTTGATAAATATTTGAGGAATATTGTATTAAAGTATATGGGGAAAGAGGGAGGTTATAGGATTATAGCTCCAATAAGGGAGCAACCACTAGCATGGACATGATGATCTGAATGGCCTTTCATTCTATCTTGATGTACAAACAACAGTATGTATAGGACAAGATCCTTACAACAGAGTGAACAAGCATTTAACTTGAAACTCACATGCAGGGAAGGATTTTGCTTTAAACATAGAGCATCTGGCTAGTGCTTTACTTTATGTCATTGTGCTTGTTGCCATTTACAACCACGATAGATCTAAAGGAGCTGCAGGCAGTGTTGCGGAGCAAGGTTAAACAAAGATCACCGGAGATTATTTGCTAACTGACGTGGAAACTAAAATGCAGTGGACAAAAGAGAAGTGGGTGAGAAAAGCGATTAGAATTTTAAACGTTGTTTGGTTAGGTACATCTGTAGTTGTACTTGTACTTACAGCAGCATTTTACAGAGATTGCTGTCTGCATCAGGTAAAGTGTGGTAACTCAGCCCTTTTGTGAGCCTGTCTTTTGCTTCTTATTGCATTAATCAGCACAGAAAGGAAAGAGCTGTTTGCTTTCAGCCCTGCCATCATTCTCCTTAAGGAGTATGGAAGCTATTCTTGCCATCCTTTCAGTCCATCCACTAACCAATCTCAACAGCCTGGTAATATTTATATCCAAGCAAAACAGGCTATTTCAATCCATTGACTTTTTGTGAGTTGACAGAAAACAGTTTAAAGGGATCTAGGAACCTCCTGCTTCATTATATAGACCCATGAGGGCTGATGCTGAAACTCGTCAAAACCTGACATTTTAATATCACAAAACAAATCCCTTTGGAGCCCCATAAACAGTAACTGCCTAGTCTCAAAACACATTTCCATGCAGATTACTCAGCTTTCAATATCCATCCCAGCCAACCTCAGCCCACTACATAGGAAGGTCTGGCTTTGACAAATAAACAGCCTTGGACACAAAAGCAACAGCACATCCGCAATTTCTGTGCCCAACACTGGAATTTTCTGCTACTATCGTGACCTTAAATAAACATGCAAACCCATCCAATCTTTTGTTCTCATACTCTGCCCTCTGTTAACACTCTTCCTGTTTATTCAGAAACTTGCACATCTGTCAGCACATTTCATTACAATAGTCTTCTGTGAAAGGCCAATAATTTTTCTATGATTTTTACTACGAATAAACAAGGTCTTCTTCCTACTTATTTGGCCAGTGAATCATAACCACTAAGTACTAGTCAGAGATATTCTTCAAGTCCCTGCTGTACAAATTGCCAACTGTGTCCATTATCTCTCCAAATCAGTTAAAAATTACAGAATTATTTCAGGTGATGCATATGTGCACAGATACTTTGACAAAGTAAACTACTCCATTTTACTCACAACAAGAGACGCACTCTTTTGCATTAATAATTTGGCTTTTTCTTTCTCTTCCCTTCTCCTGAAAATGCTGACTAGCTGTATTCCAGTACTCCTCTCAAACCTTTCCAGACAGCGAGGGCAGAGAGGCTTACAGCAGCAGTCACTGCACAGTGATCAGGAGTGGGAATCCTGTGTGATATTACCCTTACATAGTCCAGGAGGATCAAGGTTAACTGTAGCAATCTAATAAATAAAAGGCAAAATACTGCAGATGCTGGAAATCTTGGAATAGTCAGGCGAAAGGTTATCGACCTGAAACGTTAACTCATTTTCCTCTCCCCATAGATGCTGCCTGACCTGCTGTGTGTTCCCAGCGACTTCTAGTTTTATTATAGCAATCTAATGACTATCCTGCCTAAGATCAGTCAACTCAGCACAAAGCTGGAATAAAATCAGCAACCTTCTTATCCATGTTGCACAGTTTTTGCCCAATAGCCCACTGGAAAAGCCACCAGAAGGAAGAAAGAGCCTAAAGGCTTGTTTGGGAATATATAAGACATTTCAACAAAAGATCATAAAATCAATATAAGGCATTGAGAACTGCACTATAAAAGTACATAGAGCAACCTTTCCCTCTTCTAACTGATAAATGCTACATTATAATGCAGCTTGTAAGAAGAATAGTTTAGATGGATCCTTTGTTAGTAAAGAGGCCATAAACAGTCCATGTTAATGAGGTCATGGTACATCAACAGAGTCTTACAAGGGATAAGGCTCCTAGAGTTCTATATCTTTTACTGATCATAATCCCCAGTCATTCAAAAGTCATTTTGATCTCTACCTTTCCCATGCTGTTGTACTCGACAGCTATTTCCCGAAAGAAGAAGTAGATATAATCCCCATAATCCACAGCCTGGACAAAATAAGGCTCTGCAAATTAACAAGGAAAAACATATTATTAATACAATACAAATTTACATTTGTATAGTGTCTTTCACCTTGTGAGGACTTCCCAAGGTGTATTAAACATAGCCGTGAAAGAGGGTCCAGTAGTGACACAGATAAAGACTATAATGAGTTATTCTCTATGATCCCATTCAATACGTTAGTACTGAAATCAGGCAGTTTAATTTACACATAAGAGAGCAGAACAACACCCATAGGACACTGTTTAATGGTACTGTGCATGACTCCCACAGGAACACACTTGACAATTAAATGAACAGTGAATTGTCTATTGCACAAGACTTTAAATTCTTTTTTTTCTCTAAATGGTTCCTTCAGCATGCATGCCCTCCAGTACTGCATGGAAGTAACCTTTCTTAGAAGCCTAGCCAGTGAGAGTTGGCAGACTATTCAACAAGGTGCTGCATGACATCAGAGTCTGATTCGGTCCTCACTCAACATCCAGAATTCGTAAATGAACTCAGCAAACTTTCTGATCTGCGTGGTCCAGTTGTTACCCAATAGCCAATTTGAGAAGTATTATACGATATCCCAGCAGGTCACAAAATCATTATAAGCCACTACACATAAAACTTATAAAGATCTATACATGCAAACCTTACAGAAATTGTGGGAGAAAATAGATACAATCATAATCATCATAACAACAATCCTTTCATTTGACATAGCTCCTTATTACATCATTGAGACGTCTGAAAGTGCTTCACAGAATATACTGTAAAATGGATAGACTGTGTATTTTGTGGGCAAAACAAATTAAGAGCATGAAGCCCTAACGTGCATTTTACTATCCACCCCCGGAACAAAAAAATCAGGTGTAGCACTTCTAGCATCACCTCTGGCAGAGCTCAGGTAACTCAGCATAGACCTGGGTTCAAAGCTGAGACCTTCCTATCTCTATCAGTCAGTTACACGGCGAGCTATTTACTTCGCAACAGAGGCGGCAAGGGGTACGAACATTAATTTTTACATTTATTTGTCTATATATTATTATGCATTTCATATCAACGCTATCGATTTCCTTTAAATTAAACCATCTCACTAACTCACCTTTCAACCATTTTGAATCGTGCTTGACTGTCCGCAGCGTAGGACTGTCTCCAAGGCTCCGATATATGACGGCATCAATTGCAAGGAAGTCTGTTACGGTTGCAGAATAAAGCTTATTTTCTGGAAGAAAAACAAAGGTGTTCTACAATGGCCGCAGGTTTCAATAGTTGGGAGGATATGCTATATGTACCTTAAAACATTAGTTCTGGTGCAGTTTTGAAGCTAGCAATTTTATTAGCTTATTATGCAAAGCAGGAAAGGCAAGAAAAAAACATTATTTTTTTTTGCTGAAAACAAATTCTCGCTCATTCTCCTGATTTAATACAGTTCCACACACTTTTTGTGCCCAAGCCTAGACCCTCACCAATCTGTGTCTAATACTCTCTGGAATGTATCTCAGGATGTATCTCTCCTGGGAGGAGTGCACATTCCACTCCAAAGAAATTTTCACGTCAAAGATGGAACTCTCAGTCTGGTTTGGCTACTCTTAAGCATGGAGTTAGGTTTCCGCATGTGTCAGGAAATGTCAGATATAAGCTTGTTAAAATGGTGTTCAATTTATATGTAACTAGCAGCCGGATTGAAATTTGCACGATGAGCTTTCTGGGCTTAAATTTTTGGGTGTAGAAATACAGGTGATGGGTTGAAAGTTCCCTATATAACATTTGGAATATTCTTTTCAACTCTTAAAGGATTTGCTTCCCCCACCTCCTGTGATTGAGGTTAAGCCATTCTCTACTGTGACATTTCTAGGTCATGTGCTCCAGTAATGATAAGAGGCATTTATTAGGTCACAGTACTGCTTCAGTCTCCACATGAACTCTATGCATTCCCTCCCCTCTACCCACCTCTTGCTCAGTCACTATGATCTTCATGTTGCGCAAACAATTTTATTCAAAAGAATTATTGCTTTTGGAGTAAGTTAATGTCAATTTTGTCCCATGGAGGGAGTCGGGGAGGAGAAAGGGGTTCTACAACACAATTATTTCATGCATGAAGGGAATAGAGGGACAAGGGAGAGGGGAATAGGATGGTTGGATGCTCATGTGAAGTTTAAACAGTGGTTCAGACTACATGGCCGAATAGCCTCTTTCTATGCTGTAACACCCTATGAAATTGCTTACCAGCAAAAAGTGCCACATTTGCATGTTTTGGATCATAGGGGCATCTTGCCATTCCACTGATCTCCTCTTCAAGGAAGTCAAGGGTATCCAACTGAAAGACAACATACAATTCCTTGAAAAAGCTATATATAATTAAGACATACTTTCCAGAAGGGGTCAATTCCACCTAGAGGATCCTTCCTTAGCCTCAAAATTCCACCTAGATTTAACCCCAAAATATTATGTTGTCAGAAATTTTAGATAGCACAAAAGTTACAGAAATTTCTTATATTCAGTCTGAATTTGGAAGCTGTTTTTCTGCAGTTAGTCTAAAGAACCAGCTTCCAAAATAAGACTGAATTTAAATGTTTCCCACAATTCTATATGATTTTAAATGTTAAGATAAGTTAGAATTTCAGGCTTCATGTCTTTGTAACTTAGTTTCATATTGGATAATGATTTTTCCAACTGAACCATAAGGGAAGCCTTTAACTGGCCAGGTCATCCAGGGAAAATGTTAACTGTAGAAAACACAGTGACTGTAATGTTCTTTATTGTTCTGGTCCACTTTGTAGCCTTTACAAATGGGTGCATTGCACATAACAGAAAGAAGAGAACAAATAACAATGTATAAGCCTGAACTTTTCCCAATGGCAGTACTTTGTTGTCATAAATGAAAGCAGCAAATCAGGAAGAATATACCACTTTAGGAGTTCATCTGCATGAAGGAACAGCACTAGAGAGTCAAACTATATGGGTATCCACCCTTCCTCTCAGACCTCCTTCAACACTTCGCTCATCAAATGCTGTCCTACTTCACGTCCCCGGCCTTTACCGCCCCACAATTGGCGGGCAGGCTTTCAGCCATTCAGCCCCCATTTTCCAGAATTCCATGCCGGAGGTCCTCTGACTCGCTCCCTCTCTCACCTCATTCAAAGCCTGTCTCAAGATGTACCTCTTTGACTGTGCTTTCAGTCATCTTTCCCCTCTCCATCTACCCTGGTCTCCCACCCCCAGTGTAGGTGCCCAGCAAGCAATGTCAAGTGTTTTGAGATGTCTTCCTGATATGAAAGGTGCTATAGAAATAGAAGTGTATTGTATAAAAAAATTATACTGTATCATGCTTTGCAAAGGAAAAGGGACCTTTTCCTAGTAATTTTTTGTTAAAAGTTACGGAAAGTGGTAAATTGGGATTAGGACAAGCAATATACCAGTTTATGGAAATATTCAAGCCCCCTTTTCCAATTCTCATGTAATAAGTATTTTTAAATAATTTCCCCAGTGGTGTACTGTAAGCTTTCTATAAGTGAAAATACAGACAAGGTGCAGGCAGATCTGATTACGTTTGGTGTAATAAGACATTTCTGAGGCATTAGTTAATGGTGGAAAACAAGATACAAAAACATAACACTTATTACAGGTACCTTTCAGCCCAATGACCTTCTGCCAGGGTCAGCAGTATTCCCATAAGCGCAACTGCAAACCAAACAGGTGATGTAACCGACACCACTTATCCATCACAGACACAAAACAGCTGGAGCAAGCATTAAAAAGAACCCTTGCAGTTGCATCCTTCACTAACAAATGGCTCCAACAGGCAATCCACGAAAGGCTTGCGCTCTGCTGGAAGTGAAGAGGCTGCTGGATCATTTTTGTGACAAGATGCTAAACTGTGCTAGGCACTGCTCATTGCCAAGTGATGTTTGAAAGGTAAACGTTAGGATGAAATTGGATCAGGATAACCAGGAGAAGGGGATTATGGACAGCTCATTTACTGAGCGGTTCGACTGACTTTCATTCTGCTAGATCAGGTAACTATGATTAACGTGAAACCAGCCTGCCTGTGAAATTGAAGCCCCATCAAGTGCACTGCGGAGGAGACGGAAAAAAATTCAAGCCAAGCTGTAGAGAACACATGCTCAGCTCCTTCCAGGTATTAAGGCCCTGACAGCTGGTAAACCAATGAGATTAAAAGATTGTCTGCTATTCTTCTTGATATAAAGAGGGGAATTGACTGCAGTCCTCCCTTTTTCCCATATGCAGTCGTTGCTTTCTCCCAAAGCAAGCCAGCATGGGAGTTGAATTGTACCTCTCATGCCATACCATACTCCACGGCTCAAAATCAAATCCAACTGTACAATGCTGTAATGTCAGGCAATGCAGGGAGGGACTCCTCACCCCCTAACCCTACTCCAATCAGTCTTCTCTCCCACCACCCACACTGTAAAACCTACATAAGGAAAAGCAAAATTCACATATGCTGAAATTGGGGAGTGGATTCAAGTTTCCTGTTTTGGTGTTTAATATTCCAATGTTGTAGCTACTGGGTAAAAATGTTTATATCGTATCTCTCCAAATGTGCAGCGTTTACATTTCCGGTCTCACACCAAACTATACGCACACCAGAGCTTCCACACACTTCAGAGCTAACATGGTTAAAGGAGGTAAGCAGGACTCTCGCCAGTGAATTTCTGTCTGCAGTACCAGTATTACCAACTCTTGAGTCCGAAGGTTGGGGCTTCAATCCCCTACTGAAATGTGAACTCATAATTTAGCCTTACTCTCCAGTGAGTGAGTGAGTGATGCTGTGTCAGAGGTGTTTTCTTTTGGATGAGATATTACCCCAAGGATTCACCTGCTGTTCTAACAGTTCAGAATGGAACTCAAAGTTCCATTTGCACAATTTGCAAGTCCAGACAATATTTCTCTCTCTCTCTCATCCAAAGGAGAGCAGGTCCAATTTAACAATTCATCTCCAGACTTGGCTCCTGTCAATGTCGCTACGCTCTGAGACTCTGGAACCGTCTATCTCAATCCCTCGCCCTCGGCACCAAGCTCTGCCACCATTAAGTGTTCCTAGATACTACCCCATGTGAAAGGCACTATATAAACACAAGGAATTGTTGTTGTTATCTGATTGTATATGGGACATTGCAGGCACAGATTAGCTGCCATATTTGCCTACATAACAATTGTTTCACTAAAATAATTCATACATGAAGTACTTTGAAAAGTTTTGACATAAGGCAAGCACGGTAGTTTTATAATGAGGTTGGTGTGTAAAATGTTGAGCTGTTTAAAGGGTTGAAGGAGTTTTCTTCAGTCAACCTAAGGGAGTGATCACATATTTATCTGTTGAATTTTAACTCTCTTCCAAGAAACTTGGAACAGGAAGCTCACGTTACATAGGAATAAGTAGACAAGATGTTTAACATTACCTCCTGACTTTGATCAGGATCAATGATCATCCATTACCAAGTTAGAATTTTCCATTACCCAAATGTAAAATAATTGAATTTAAACACAGTAAACAATAGCTTCAAATCACTCATTCCTTTGTAATATGGGAGAAGTTGGAAAGCTATAATAATCCCTGCAATTTAACATATTGCTTGTAATGTCGAAAATGTCTCAGTGAGGAATTTCTGTAAAGTGTAGCGATTGTAGTGTAAGCGAACATGGGAACCAATTTGTGCTCAACAGCCATTAAATAAATAACCAGTAAATCTAGACGCTGGTCAGGACACTGGGGGATACACCTTCTCTTTTCAATGAGATCTTTAATCTGAGGTGAACAGCAACAACTACAATAACAAAAGTAAAGTAGCCCAATTAACTAAAAGAAAATCGACAAGTTCATTGGGAGCAGTCAGTTGTCTGGTAAGCATCACTCCACTTTCTATATTACTAAATGACGACAGCTGCACAACACTAAACTAACTCACCTCCTGGAAATTGTGTCCAATTTCACACATGATGCTGCCCTTTCTATACAGACAGCAGTCGGTATATCCACACTACTTTTAAGCAATCCGACAAGGCATAGACATCACAGTAACACATTTGCTGATTGTGACCAGCCAACCATCTCAGTCCAATGGAAGTTGCTCAAAGCCATTTCTGTAATGAAAGCCGTCAAATGTACTGGGAATGCTTACATTTTTCAGTGAAAGCATCATTATTGTTTCTATTCCAATGTGTACTTGACGTATATCAGCATTGTACTGGGTCTGAAGTTGATGTAAGTTGTCACTCACATCAACTTAGCACTCCCACATCCAAGGTCTGCAAGTTACAGTGCAAATGCGGTAGACCTTTGTTGACACCTGCAGCAATCGATAAAGTCATGAAAACAAGGCTGTAAAGTGCTTGCATCAGGTTGGTTGTTTGCAGCTGGATTCTCATCTTGTTTTGATCAAGATTTTTTTAATAGTCTGCAAATTCTTCAAAATAATTGTTAATAAAACTCACATCTTTTAAAACTATCAAAAATGAAATAATAATAAAGACCATAGTAATGTCACAATCAATTGACAAGAAATCCAGCTCATTAAGCAGAGCAGAAAACTTTAAGACCTACATTTCATTAAAACCATTTATCCACACGTACCTTATAATTTCTGCAGGATGGGTTGAAAGCATTCGTCCCACACACAAATAAGGTCTCATCATTTCTTTTCAGAAGCAACTTAATGAAATTATGACATTCATCCTAGAGGATCAGAAACACAAGCATTTGCAAAATTAGTCAGCCCATCAAAACAGATTGCTTCATTGTGCAATATTACCATAAACTATGGCTTTCGACTGCATATATATGCAACTCCTAAAGTTTCCTCTTATAAGGACTCAATATAATAACAAGTAAAGCCAACAATAAGGGAGCCTATTATGAGATTGCTCATAGAGTTACTGAACCACACAGTGATAGAATCTGTGATCCAACAAAAATGGTGTCATAGTATAACAAACATGGGGGAGTAGCACTAAAGTGGCATCCATTAGAGAAATGATACACACCTTACGTTTTCCCTTCATTCTGCATATGTCTATGTCAGCTTGTTTCGACCTCCATGTTAACTTCTGGAATGAAAGCAAGGAGTAAGACAATGGTATATATCTTATCTACTGCCAATACTTAATATAGAAAGTTGTCTGGGTGTAAATTGCGTTATTTAAATAGTGATACAGCATAGAAATGGGTCATTTGCCCAACTATTTCATGTGATGAGAATTTCTTGATTGGATTCCTCAATAAAGAGTCTGAGTTGCACTGAGGTGGACACCTTCCAGTGGCAAGCCGAAAACCCGGAAGCAGGATAATTGGCCATTTTTTACATGGCCCCATTATTATGCGACGCACAATATTTAAAATACAGTGCTTTGGATCTTAACACACAGTACTATTTAAGTATACAACACAGAAAAGTAATTAACATTCAAAATCCAGTACCATGTACTATTTGTGATTAATGATTTGACTATAAATATTTGGAAATGATTTATTTTTAGTGGAATTACATTTTGTTTAAAAAAAACTAATATTTCTATTGCTGATGCTGCTGTATCATGCTAACTGAAAAATATTTATGAATATTTTAGGTTTATGTAAACTGGGAGCTTTACTCAATAGAACTAGCAGATTGCATATTGAAATGCACATGGCTCTGCCTCGGAAAGATATATTAATGAGGTGGGATGCACAAGATAAGTTTAGCCGAGACTCTCGTAAATGTATGGCATATTTGCCGGGATGCGTTCCGCTTGGGAAAAGTCTGCCAATAATGCTAGCTAATGGAAATGGTACTTTGAAATTCTAATGTTTGGATTTATCTAAACTTATTTGTACTAGAAATTGTAACTGTCCCCATTTGAACTGCACAGTTTAGTCTTATCAGGTTTCTGCATGTTGTGCGTGTTTTGCACTGTGCAGTCTCAGAAACAAAAGTGCATGTTACTTACTTTGTTAAAATTAATCTGCTCTGTGAAGGATGTATCCATTTCAACAGTGTAAATATGGTCTCTATAAATAGAACAAAGAAGATACATGTTCATTTCAGCACTTTAAACACAGTGTGCAGAACCTTATCGCATTAAACAGAAAGCAGGCCAGCTGGAGCAAATGATTCAGTGTTAATGGTTCACCACATAATCATACAACTATTACAGATTCATTAAAAAAAAAGAATTATAATCACTATTAATAAAAAAATCAAATGTTAAAATAATTTCAATTTAATGTGCCACATGTTTAATAAAGCTAAGTGCATCCATTTTCAACTGCAAACTGTGCGGTTTCCTATTCTTCCACTTTATTCTCCTACTTTAGATAACGGGTCGAGCTCCTCGTAATTGTTTGTGGCTTTTCAGGAACTGTGTATCTTCATTTCCTCATTACAGAGTTTCAGCAGCAATTCAGAATTACAGTTTGTGTTCTACAATACATTCCAGCCACCTTTCCCAGTCTCTGTGCAGAGTTATCTGTGAGTTTGTATTGGAAAATCTTAAATGTAAACATGACTCCAGGCTTGTTTGTGTTAACCTCCAAGGGTTAAACACAGCCTCAGGTGATGGTATCACTTCTTCCAATGTAATAGTAGGAAGGGGATTCAGTGTACAGCTGTACATAATGTATAGAAAGGTCAGAGATGCAATTTCTAAAATGTACAGCACAGTGCTTCGCACTAAGTCTTTCCAATACAAATACAATTAGATCTCCTAATGTAATTGCATGAGGAGAAGGTGGATATGAGACACCACCTTGAAAGGTAGTCGAACAGCAAACTCAAAACCCTTGGCTGTGCACTTTTAAAATCCACCCTTGCATATACTCTTAACTTGACACTCTCTTATATCGGATTGTCTGACTTTAAGCAATGAACAGCAGAATGTTTACACCCGACAACAAGGCCATGCTCAAAGTAACCCTTTTCTTTATGCTAAATGTTCAGTTGAAACGCCTGTAGCTGCAGAGGTATTTTAAGGGATGCTTCAACCCTAATGCATTTCTTCTCACTTAGTGCCTTGCACTGACAAGTCCTTTGTGTTCACAAATGTTTATTTCTTTGTGAAATGTTGCATTGCTTGCACTATGCTTTCTCTATACAAATGTACACTAATCTTCACAAAGAAAAATGACTTCCATCAGATTTGTAACTGTTTCTGAATTGCTCCATGCCCACTGTCCCTTTACAAGAACATAGCAGAGAAAGAAGAATTAACTGGAGATGCTAAACCCATTTCTATGCTTTATCTTTGGGTGATATAAGATGGTGTCCACTCATCAGCCAAAGACTTTCTGGAAAGGAAGACAATAAGTCATTCGGAAATTCTGGGTTTGGACTTGGTTTCAGGCACGGAGAGACACAGAATTATTTTAATCATCCTCCCATTCACTGTACAGCACTGTGACAGAGCAGCACCAATAGAGGATTAGAATGAGGGCAGTTAACAAAATGCTAATCTCTTCTATAACACAGTTGGAAAATTACTTTTGTTACACGGTTAAATAAAACGAGAGACAGAAGGTAATTAAAAGTGCATTATCTTCATGAACGACCGAGTAACAAACTCAAAGGCATCAATCAGGCCCAAATCAATCAGTGTGTAACTTGTCTGTGATTAAGGGGAGGGAGGTAATTTCCAATATTCACAAGAGGGTGGAAAGAGTTACTCTGGAGAGTGAAACACCACTTGCTTCCATCTCTGTGATGTGCTTCACTCTCTGTTTTTTTCTTTCATCACCTTTAGAGCTCTCAGAAATCATAATTAAAGCTTTCGTGAATATCACAAAGTCTTCTCCCCCACCTCTTCAATGTCAGAGACAAACCTAGAGCTATCTCTCACCCAAAGTGTTTTGAAAAATATACTGTAGTCAGTGTCCCTTTAAAAACTGGGCACGTTAAATATACACCAGCTTCAAGGATAACCCAAGTATTTACAAAACCATATGTAGATTAGCCTGCTTTCTTTTACGGGAAATGATTTCCATTTAATTTCAGTTATGCTTTCCCTTTACAAGGCGTCTCTTGCATTTTGCTTTGTCTCCTCATGCAATTGAAGTGCAGCACAGGAGTTTATACACAAGGGGACTGCAAAGCTCCTGAAATTACATTAATTAAGGTGTGCAAATTTCACAGGGGGGTGGAAACAGTCAGCTTTCAGGGCTTATTGTTTTCCGACCACTGGATATTTCCAATCTCTGGATTTGTTTTTAGGGGAGGGTGGTGGTGGCCTGTATAGTTGTACAGAGAGCTCAGGCTTCTAACAGCGACTAGCAGCATCAAGCTCACACTACTGGCATGAAAAAGCACTGACACACTGACAAACCAATCTGATCTTACTGGTTATACACGTCATAAATCAGTGCCCAAACCGGGTTACCGTACTGTTGATGGAAAGATTAATGAGTTCCTGGGATTCTCTTTGCTGCCTTTACAGGGCTGGAAAGTAAATGTACTGAAAGTGTTTGAAAAGTTTTGCCTTCTTCGCAAACAAGGCAATGCTACAGTAAAAATTGCTTCAAACGCCAACTACATGCCACTTGAGCACAGCCTTATTGTGACTAATCATTAACAATTTCTGTTGACATCAGTGCTCCTTTAAGAGCAACCTGAAGGACTGAGCTTCTCACACAGATTATGAACACCCAAATCCTCTTCTAATGAACTTTTCCAAACCAATCTGATCTTACTGGTTATACACGTCATAAATCAGTGCCCAAACCCGGTTACCGTACTGTTGATGGAAAGATTAATGAGTTCCTGGGATTCTCTTCATGTTATTAAATATAGCCTGCAGCTGCCTTACACTAACCCAGTTACCAGGTCTCACACACTGGCGGCAACAGTTAATTTTCCGACGTCGAGTCTTCAAAATTGAATCTAGTCTCCCCTAATTTTATCTCAGGCACCAAAAGCATTTTGCAACCCCAGTATGTAAGAATGACCTCTATAACCTACTGCTTAGCATGCACATAGAGCCCCCTGGGTTTATGGAAAGTTACCGATGACAATGCCATTTTATTGTAATGGTAAGATCTTCATCTAAATAGTTATTTATTTGGGGGATCGGGAAAAGTCACAGACATTTTCAGAATGAGGTTGCGCACACGTGACAGGGCTTATGGACATTTGTTTACAAACAAAGGCAGCTTTACCAGGCCCCATTTAACTACACGGTACCTACCTCCTTATCTGGGAGCTGCAATGGCAAATAAAGAGTTTCACCAGAGAGTTTATGCAGTGATTTGCTGAACCATTTAGACTGGCAAGATCCAAGGTTAGATCTCCAGTCTGTGTTGCTCTCACCCAGACAACGGTACTGGACTTCAATTGGCCTCAGGGTTAGCAAGAGGAGGAAAAAGAGATAGGAAATCTCTTCTGGTGAGAAATCTTTGCTGGAAGTGATGCCAAGTGAGGACAAGGTGGAGTTCAGCTGCAGTCAGACAGCTTGCTAAGACTCACCACAAAGGCTTAAGACAATCAATAATGATTACTTGAGTGAGATACAGCCAAGCAGTCAGTGATCTAACTCCAGTAGACGGGTGGGGGGGAGGAGATATCTACAGATAAAGGTGGGGCAGAGGAGAACATTTGTTGAGGGGGGAAAAAAGCAAACAAAATAATAACATTAATAAGATTTATATTTCATAAATCAAATATAAGTATTTGAAAGGAAAAATTTGCAGGGTATGGGGAAACAGCGGAGGAATTAGATTTATTGGGTACCTCTTCCAAATAGCCGACACAGGCACGATGGGCTGAATGGCCTCCTGTGCTGTAATATTCTATGATTCTATGAAATCGCCTTTCACATTGGGAGAACATCTCAAAGTGCTTCACAGGAATGTATAGTAAAGTGTTGCGACAGTGGATTTTGACGGTACAATTTGTTCAAACAGCATTTCTCTTATTTCATTCTTGTAAATGGGCAGACTACCAATTACCTAATGTCTGTGATCAACAATTCTAGTATGCCATCAAAACCTAAGTGTACCTATAACTTGGTGGTCAGCAGTTCTGCATTTCTAGAAGTAAGTAAAACTCCCAAAGCAATAAACAAAACAGCAGCATATTGTGAAATGATAAAGACCCATTTCCCTTCCTGCTTCAGGTTCTTCTTCCAGATTGTGGCCAGGTGACTTCCGTCAACACCACTCTGTAAAATATCATTAGAACAAATACAAAAGCAGCAGCAGGGTGCCTCATCTGCAGTCTCGCCTCACTCTCTGCACTGTAACTCCCTTGAACAGAGATCAAGGATTTGTTACGTAGGGACTATCAGGCACTGAGCCATGTCCTGCATCCAGTGGGGCCCCACTGCCCCCACATTGACAACCGAGTCACATCTGCACAGCTCCCTTTATACACAAGATAAGTCGTTGGAGCAGCTTCTCTTGCATCCCAACGCCAGATTGAAGCTTCAAAGCATTTGTAAGTAAATCCAGCCTGCATTTGACAAGTTAGTGAAAGAATTCCTACCTAGCAGCAATGTAGAGTGTTCGGTTCATTTTCATTATCAGCTGGATTTCCAGCTTGTGTCTTTGTGTGTTATTCCGTCCTGGTTTGTGACCCAAAAATACCGGATATTGTTTTGTATCTGAGAGGAGAAGCAATATAATCACACTATCAGCCTAAATTACAATTCCTGCACTCAGTCCACCACACGCTAGTTCAGTGCCCGAGGCACTAAAGTAATCGCACAGCAATTTTCACAAGCATTCATTCCCCTAATCCATGTTATGAGTCAGCGGGGACACCACTCTTAATTCTTTTACAAGCTAAGAAATTGTGCTTGCGAGGATAATAATTTTTTCACTGCGCTACATTGTGGAAACATTTAACTAGCACATCCCACCCCAGTCTCAGATATTTATCTATCGGTTCTCAAGGTCTTTTACCCCTACCCCAATGTCTGAGTTGGTTTCAGGACTTACAGTTGCCATGTGCAATACTGATAGGCTCAGAGTCTTCGGGGAAACCAGCCCCGGCGAAATGTAGTAGCGACACATATAGCAGCAAGGCTTCAGACTTCATAGTAGCACAGCTAGCTTGTGATTTATTCTCTTCACTTAAGCCTGCAGAAGAAACAAAGGCAAAACAAGACAGAAGTCAGCATCACAGCCCATTTGTAGATGTAAAATAAACGTACAAGACTCTCAACAGTGACTAATATTCTGATCATGCACACTTAGCAGTTCTTATTTATAATTCAAAAAGATCAATTTGTTTCCATCAATCTTTCTAGCATTCAACCACTTTATTGAGCTTATGATACACAGTATATTGGAGAAAATGTTCAAGATGTCTGCGTTAAACATTCCCACCCATTTTAAAAGGATATAAACTGAAGAATTATTAGCTCATTTATTTTCGAACATACCCTGTTGTTTTCAGATTACTTTCTTAGCAGTGCAACAAAGCCAGCTGTATGAGGAAGAGGGGAACAGAGGAAAACAGGCCTGAGTCTTCGACCTCCCTGACACAATTGTTAACACAGGATCTAGTTGCCCTGTGCATTCAGTTAACAACAACAAATTACATTTGTATAGCGTGTTTCACATCAGGAGGACGTCATTCTAATTTTTCATTTTCCCATAACAGCAATGGTCATTCTCGGTCTTGTGGCATGGCACATCATTACAGCACAACAAATGCACCATTGATCCAGTTTGGATCTTCGTATGAAGTGTAAATCCTAACCCCTATCTGAATTTACACGGTCCAGATGCCAACAGAGACTCACCTCTCAGACAGTGAGATGAAGGCAGTCACTGCACAATGTGTCGGTCAGGAGCGGGGCTGACACAATTATTGCTGAAATGCTAGGATCTAAGGGAGTGTGGTCAAGAACAGCTCATTACCGGTCATATAATCCTCTCCACTCCAGGGCTGTATAAACAAGAGCTCAGATGCAAGTGAAACCCAGAAGAAGTCAAGGGATGGGAGGGGGAAAGAAATCAGGCAGGGTTCCCATTTCACATTATTATTCAGTGACCCTCTTCTAAAAGGTTTGAGTGCATATGTGAATATCAGGTGAGAATAGAATAAGGCTCAGTGGTGGAACATTCTGCTGACCATCACTGCCTGGCTCACACAGTGTAAGAATTGCGCCAAAGGTACTGGAGACTTGCTAGCATCCATAAAACTGTATCCCAGCATGATTCAGTGTGAAGAGAAACACCAATAACAATAAGATGCATTTATATGGCGCCCATCATAGGGGTTCACATCTTCGTGCTTAGGTCATTCATCAACAACGGGGCTTGATTCCTGGATTAAGAGTTTGGCATTCTCCTGACCGAGCTATCCTGAAACAATTTTATTTCTTATATTCCAGCATTATATTTATGTTGAATAGGAGGCAAGGCTTTGCAAGGCCAGCTAACAATTTACGAATTACTTACTGACAACTAAGATCAAATTGGGCTGCAATTATTAAGCTTGTTCTATAAATGTGGCGCTTTTATGACATAATTTGCCAGACTTTTAGCCTTAGAACAACTTCTTATTGTTGTACTGCAATCTGTATGTAACCAACAGTAATATGCATTTACATCACTACTTTCATAGAAATTTACAACACAGAAGGAAGCCATTCAACCCATAAGAGTCTGCACCAACCAACTCACAGAGCACTAAGGGTACAAAGGATAAATGTCTCAAACACAATGGAGATCACTGAATAGGGAGAAAGGGGGGGGAGAATTTTGGGTGTTGACTACAACAAGAGGGTTTTTGATAATATTTATCTGCTTGCTATAACAATTCATAAAGCATTTTTAACACAATGACTGTCCAACTCATCTGAAAACACCTTTCAATGAGGATTGCAAGAATGAAAGACTAATCACCTATTATAACTTAATACTTTGATAATCATGCCAATCAATTACAGTTGTAATTGATTCTAATTGAGCAGAAAGAAAACAACTCAAAATATATCGAATTAGCATCCCTCTGAAAACTACATTTCTAAACGGTTACTTCAATCTTGTATAAATTTACCTTTTACCGTTCAACAAAATATCCTGAGCCCAGAATACAGACCACTAGCATTCATTACAATGACATATGTTAACATAAATTTTCCTCAAAGGAACATTGCTTGGTCCCTAATCTAAAATTCTTTCATCGATGCAGTAGGCATGAGAAAACAATAGCACGTACAGTATCTCCAAATATTAATCACAATGTATTCTATCTTACTTTCCCAAGNTTTTTTTAAAGATTGTAAGTTTTGTACATTCTATACTTCATTCCACTAAACTATTTAACAGTAGGAATAGCTTCACATCGCATTCCCTCAGATACCGAATACCTTTTCAAGTGATGAGCATCAAAATGACACTGACATTACAATGTCAATCATAATCATATTATATTGTTAATGGGATATTACTACCAACCTCCTATCTTCACCCTCCAAGCCAAGTATTCCCCCAGGCAGTTGAAGAAAACAGTGACATTATAATATCAATCACAGTCACAACCACGTATTTTGGAACAGATTATCACTACCTACCCACTATGCTCACATGCCTCTGTTCTTCTCTAGTATATCCACAGTTTACTGAGCACTTCCTCTTTCTTGGTTATTTTTGATATCTCACCCTTTTCAGTCCATCTCAGCAACAAGTGTCACACTCTACGTTGAAGGAAAAGCTGCTATTTTTGTAGTAAATTCTGTCTTTGCACACCCAGGTGACAGAAGCAGCGTTTAATGTTAGAAGAGGTGAAATATGGTCAGCAGTCTGCAAAGGATAAAATATAAATCTCTGGGAGATGATTAAGTGCCCATCGTTGGCGGAAGAGTAGATAAAGCTAATGAAGGGTAAAGGGCTGGATCATGACTCAAGGAGACATCACAGAGAAGTTACGCAATGAAGCTGGAGGTCAGAGCCTAGCCTTTTCTGCTCAGCATTACACTTATCCAAACAATTAAAATTCCACTGCCTTATGAAGAAATTTAAAGGTTATTCCACTTAATGAATAAGTATGAAAAAGATGTTTAAAAAGAAGAGAACAGCTTGTTGTGATTGAATAGTATACCCCAGACACTAATGTGTTTTGATTCTAGTGATAGTTTTTTTCCTCCGTGACCGCAATTTTCTCCCCTCCTCTTCTGACTCATCGTTATAGGAGTACATGGGTCAGTGGAACTCAATGACCTGACGTAGGTGCGCAAGTCAACCTGCACAGCGAGCTGCATGGCTAGCTGTCCAGACTATTAGACTGTTGCCGCATCACAACCTGACTCGATCCTGGAACTGACCCAATATCTACTCTCCAGTCAAGATCAAAGAATAGCGATAGGGAGCAGCAACCTTGACTGACAGTCCCATGCTAACCTCACGGCATTAAAGCCTCTACTGCTGTCCTGGTTGAGACGATCTAATTCGCTAGAGAACAGGAATCAAACCTTCCTAATCTGGACAGCTCAGTACCTCACATCAAGCTGTCCATTCACACACTGAGCCATTTAGGAGTCCTGTAGCTCAGTGGTTAGAGCACTCGCTTTGCAAGCGAGAGATCTGAGTTGAATTCCAGGCAGGGCGAAATCTTGGGCAAGTTTCCTTACTCCACACGCCTAATAATAATCCCTCCAAAAAAACCAAAAACAATAATAAATTGGTCATTTTCAATCCACGACTGTTTGTGGGACATTGCTGTGCGCAATTGGCTGCCGCGTTCGTCCACAAATATACAGTTAATTCACTTTACAGTGTGTTCTGTGAAGCGCTTTGGGACGTCCTCCCGACGTGAAAAGTACTATATCAAATGCAAGGATTATTATTATTATTGGGAAGTCCTTCATGATAGATGCAGTTACTGAGACTTTTAGAACAATCTTTGTTCATACTGGATAGGCTTAACCTTGTTTATACCAGTCCCATAGTTGCTTTATTTTAAAGCTACTTTGGGAATCAAGCAAAATGTCTGAACTGTTCCGGTTAACCTCACTCAGCTAGGCTTCCCATAGAGTGAAACCCGCTCTCTACCACCCAAATCCACCCTTCCACAGTCTAGCAATGTGACATTTACAATAGTGCATGACATTGCTGTATAGAGTAATTTGTTATATTAATATAGGGCAAGCTTTGAACCACAAGTTTTACACAGAGGTAAAACTGAAGTTAAATGTGGTGCAGTCTGGGTCAGAGAGGTCAATATATACATAAGTTTCAGTTTTGATAGGTTAATCCTGAATATTTACACTGGACACTGGAAAAAGGATTTCGGATTCATACCAATATAGAACTTCACACGTATACTGATTTAAACCTTTTCTGGAATGGAAGAATGAGATCAAATTGGTCGAATGACCTGTTTCATCTCAATCTTTTGTGAGCTCTTGTGAATGTAAACCAATTAGGCAGCATGTCACTAAAGACAGCAAAAATCCAAAACATTAAAGTCACACCGAGTTCATAACCCACATGAGATCCATATTAAGCAGACATGATTCCCTCTTGTCAGCATTTCTTGGAATGGATTGGGCTTTATATGCTGCTAGTTCTTATCTCAAGCTTTTCAAAAAAGTTTAAAGCATTTGAAACTGAGTAAGACACGACAGCTGTCCTGAAACAATCTTCCATTATCTTCAACAATTACAAGATTTGATCTTTGACGAATGAAAACCAGTGAATATTTCAAGACATAGATCTCTTGATGGTTTTGATTTATAAAGATTAAGGCTCAGGAGAGCATTCCCTCTTTAATATATATATGTCACCTAAGAGAGTTTGTTTTCCACAAGTGATAAGGTAGAGCAATGAGGGTCACATACATCAACAGCATTGGATAGACCAGCACTGCTCTAGGGGTTAGCAAAACTTTGAAGCACAAATGAATGTTTAAATTGAACCAACCCCTCTCTTGACCTACACAGCACTGTTAATAACTACCCCTAAATAGGAAAGAACCTGTACTGCAGAGACCATTAGATTGCACTGTGATATATCCGTCCTGCTGCACTAGAATACCCTCACAGAGCTAATCAATTCTGTTTGTAACCATTGCTGCAAATGGTCCCCTGGGAATCTTCCAGGACACCTGTTCAAATGCAGCCTGAGGT